TGCCAATCAATCACAAAAAGCTTTATTATAATTAGTACACGTATAATCCTCTGACATCCCCCCCCACCCCAAACGTCAGATGCTTTGCTACGTCCCTGATGGTTGTATTCGAAACCGATTTCAGTTAAAGAATTGAAGCATACTGGCACTTTTGCATGCATTTTTGACAGGCATGCAAAGACATTTGCAACAGATGCCGGGAGATACGTTGGGTGGGGGCAACATACTGTAAGGTTCCAGCACATTACCCTGATCCAGGAAATCCTGGCCACTACATGAACGTGTTCAAGACTCCGAATACGCTGAATGATGGACAACAACAACCTGTTGATAATTCCAACCCTAGAGCCAATTTAAAATGTTTTAAAGACGGTGCCATTTCATCTGGCGCTAGTGAGATGAAAGAAGCAGCAGATCGGTAGTTTTGTTGAGGAGAAGCACTTGAGTATGTCAGACATCTTGAGGAACTGCAAATTGTATCTATGATAAGAGAAAATTCCGGATTGTACTCCTTCGATTCCGAATTCTAGAGAGGGGGAGGGGGCATTGAAAATTTTAAAAACTTGGAGGGGGGCATCGAAATTTACCGATAACCTCAACAGGGGCTCTGTAAAAATATGAGCTTTTTTCAAGACATCTTCATCCCCCTCCCTCGGTGTAATAAATGTACTTTCCCTTATATGCCTGTCAACATTGGCAAATAATTTATAATCAAAAGTTCTCAATAATACATCAATGATCTGTAATTGGATGCCCGACTGATATAAAGAGTGAACCGTTTATCGTTGAAGGCGTATTAGAAAGAAATAAAGTTGCCTTACTTATCGTCTGATATATCAACTGCCCTACAAGATCCTTTATCACTAAGCCACTCAAGCAATGACGGAGATCTACAGGTATCGAACCTAATCTATCTTTCAGTCCAAATTTACAAAGCCTGGTTCACATTGATCGTAAACATCGGCGATGCCCTTTGTCGGTGATCATTGATGCATAAAATGTTTTGTGCATTTTCTTCTTCGTTGCTCACAGACAATGGATCGTAGAACATCGCCGATCAATGTGAACCAGGCTTAACTGTGGAGATAATTCCGTTCATAACAAAGACGGCAATTTGCATGTTGTAATGCAAACGGCACTCATGGCCCGTTTTATACGTCGAATTTTGGTCGCGTCGAATGCAATTCAAACAATAGATAATGAAGTTTAATTAATGAGGTTTATCATCTCATTATCTATTGTCTTAATTGCATTCGACGCGACCAAAATTCGACGTATAAAATAGGCCTAAGAGTGGGCAATGTAAACCTGATTCAACTAAGAGTACAGCGAGTGTTAGCCAAAACTCGGGTCCTTGCGAATGTGTGAGTGTGCGTAAGAATAATAGCGAAATACTGGCTAAAATTGAGAAAATACAATCAAAACAAAAAGATTTGGAAAAAATAATCAGAAGTCAGGATTAGGCAATTAACATTCTTAATAAACAGGAAATTTTTATTCTTAAGTCAAAGTTTGATTCTTTGGAATTTCTTTTGTTTGCTAATCCCCAATTACATGGTTCGCCCGTTTCTGATGAAAACTGCTCAACCAAAGCGAAATCACAAAGGAATGACAGTCCAATCAACTCTGACATTCAAACAATATTTTCAACAGCCGACATAAATAAAGTGCAGTCTGCCACTCTTTTAAACGATAATCCTATTATCCACTGTTCCGATGGAAGAATTATTATTATTATTATTATTTAATCTTATTTACACACATATACAACGGCAGCCCTTAAGCAAGTTTATGTACAGTTCCTTGTAGCTGATTAGCTGATTTTCAAGGGGCCGTTGATTAATAATGAAGGAAGAAAATAATGAAAATATACAAATATATATATATATATATATATATATATATATATATATATATATATATATATATATATATATATATATATATATATATGACACACGAATAATCCCCCCTTCCTTCACTCAGTCCTCCCACCCACCCTTATAATAAAACATTAAAAACTTTAACAATCTACGTTTGTCTGTCTCGGAGCAGCGCTTTAAATCTTGTTAATGATATAATAATAATAATAATAATGTAGGTTTAATGAACTCTTTTGCAGTTTATAAATATTTACAAGCTGAATTAACGAGTTTAGATTTTTAAGCTATATACATTAAAAAATTAATTAATTAAAAATCTGCATAAAACTATCTGCAACAGTTAATAGTTCAATTCTACTAGGTTTATTAGAGACTGATTCAGATGTCTACGTAAGAGTATCTGTAAAAGTTAATAGTATTTATAAGTAACGAAATCACTACATAGTTTTGTTCGACAATACGATCTATTATTAATGGTATAAAAATTCCGATTATTGTTGTTTCGAAAGCTATAGTCATGTTCTCTATTACATGGATGTGGTATTAATGCATTCAAAAGGTGATTTGGAGATTTAATTTTATCCATATATTGTTTACATAGTTTTTCACGTCTTGCCTGTAATTTCTCCAAATTGAGCATTCGTAAAAGTTCGTCATAGCACTCTTCTCCAGGTTTAATAATTTTTAGAGCTCTTCTCTGGACCGACTCTATTTTGTGTGAGAGATACTCCGGTATAGCTTGCCACACTGGTACCGCATACCACTGGTACCGCATACCATTATCTTTAAGTTCTGTTGGCAGTTCATTCCAAATCTTTACTCCTGAGTAGCCGATACTTTTTTTAAGAAAATTAGTTTTAGGCTTTTTATCGAAAAGTCACAATCGTTATTGCGTAAATTATAATTTTCATTATTTTTCACATTAAAAATATCAGTAATTGTTGTCAAGTATTTGCCATTTTTGGCTTTGTACTGCCTTATTCTCTTTCCAATTTTCTATCAGTGGCTGCCAGCCTAATTCCTATAAAATAGTCTCGGATCTAACTTCGTACGACCTACCAGTAATGACTCTTGCAGCCCTGTTTTGCATTTTCTGCAGCTTTTCAAGCGAGTAAACATTACCAATGTCCCAAACAAGGCTACAGTAGTCAAAGTGAGGTTGTACTATTGCATTATAAACTGAAATTAATGTTGACTGGGTTACAAAATTTTTCATTCGTCGAATCATGCCTATGGCCTTTGACACCTTGGTAACGACATTATCTATATGTGCATTCCATTTTAGCTGATCATCAATAATGACACCTGAAGTTTTTGTTTCTTTCACTCTTTTTATATTACAATTTCCTAATTTAACTTCTGGATCACCTTCAATTTTGCTAATCCGTTGCCTAGACCCGGCTATCATAGATTCAGTTTTGTCCTTATTGAGAGTTAATTTATTGGCCAATAACCATTGATGTATATTTTCCAAATCATTGTATAATTTTGTTTGGATGTCTATAATCGAGCACCCACTTGCTGTCAGATTAGTATCGTCTGCAAACAAACTGGCTGTAGTCGTTCTTAAACAATTAGGCAAATCGTTTATATAAATAAGAAACAGTATTGGGCCTAAATTTGAACCTTGTGGGGCACCACAACGAATTATTCGAGGTTGGGATGTCACTTGATTTACTTTACACATTTGTTTTCTATTCGTTAAATATGATTTAAACCAATTTAAAGTGGTTCCTTTACAGCCAAAGTAAGACAATTTTTTTACCAAAATATCATGGTCGACACAGTGGAAAGCTTTTTTAGATCGAGAAAAATAATTCCGTTTAAAAGACCATTATCCATATTCATTTGATGTACCATTTGTTCGTATTATTCAAAAGGGAAGTTGTAGTCGAACTCTTTTTCCTAAAGCCAGCTTGACTGTCCGACAGCAAGTGGTTAGACTCCAAATATCCATTGAGTTGCCTGGAGATAAGCTTTTCAAACACTTTAGCTACTACAGATATAATAGATATTGGTCTGTAGTTACAACATTCTAGTTTGCTATCCCCTTTATGTATAGGAGATATGCATGCAATCTTAAGGTCATCAGGAAATACGCCTTTTTCAATGGATTTATTGAAAATATTTGTGAGGGATTCGGCAACTACTTCCACACTATCTTTCAAAAGTTTTGGTGATATACGATCATGTCCAGTAGCTTTGGAAGTTTTGATTCTTGAAATTTCACTTTTTACCTCCACTACAGAAATGTTTTGAATTTCAAATGTAGTTTCAGTAGGGTTGACATACGCCTCAAAACTATTATGCCCATTTGAGAGATTATCAGCCAAAACGGTTCCAATATCATTGAAATATTTATTCATACCTTCTGCTATTTCATCTGGATTTGTTGTAACTTTCTGATCAATTATCAATTCATTAATTTTAGTTGTTTTCGATTTCTTGTTTGTCAATAGCGTTGTCCGCAATTGACGTCACGAAAATTCGACCCCCCGCCAAGACTCAGACAAACATTGACAACAATTAATATAAATAATATTATGATAAAGAGCTTGCAGTGAGTTAGTTTGGTAGTTTGATGATGTGTTTACAGTTTATTTGTGCAAACTCGTACACACCTTGTACTTTTCGCTTTACCTGAAGTGCTAGTGCAAAATATTTTTGCTTTGGAAGTAGAAATATAAACTTTTTCGTCACTTTAGTATCGACTGTCATGTCGTTTCTATTACTGTCGTTCCAATTGAAGTGTTGCTCAAATATTGATTCAATACATTACCTCGGGCTGACCAATTCATTTGATCAAGTTCCTCGAGATATTCATACATGCACTTCCTGTGAAAGAGCCAATTCCAAGTATTTGATCATTTCTGGTCACTTCCTTTCTATTTATGATTGGTTAGTTGCACAAACAACAAAGATGATTGGTGCATTCAAACTATTCAACAGGAAGTTTACAATTATACTAGGAAGTGTATGAATATCTCGAGGAACTTGATGAAATGAATTGGTCAGCCCTCGGTAATGTATTGAATCAATATTTGAGCAACACTTCAATTGGAACGACAGTAATAGGCGGTGTTACTGTATTATAATAGTACATGGTTTGGCGCAACTGTTGCTATAAAGAAAGGGTATGCAAATGAAAGGACGATAGAAAGTCTGTAGTAGCAGATATTTAACGGAAAAATCTTGTAGTCGTACCAGATTTCGTAGCCGTAGCGAATCAGTTCTAAAGTTCCCTATTTAATGTTGTTGATTTCATGTTACTAAGTTATAATTATTATTTTATTACTTTATTAATAGCAAAAGCCAAAGAAGCTAGGATTGTTTACTATAATCTATTGACTAAACATATTCAACTTATAACATACGGATTTATTAGGAATGTAATTACAATTAATACTAACTTTCAAATTTAAACTTTTTTTATAAAATGTCAAAGATAAACCATACAAACTATATAAAATATCAAATATAAAACCTTCCGTTGACCAGTAAAAAAACTATTTTGCTTTGAGACAATACAACAAAAATACAGTATGTTATTATAAAAAAACAACATTTTTATTTACCTATTTTTAAGGCCTGTTTCAAACGTCGCATTTTGCATGTGTCGAATTCAATTCGCATTAGATTCGACGGAATTACCAAAGTTCGACGCCCGTTTCAAACGTCGAATTTTGCATGTGTCGAATTAAGGCCATATAAAATAAATTCCTTGATTCTCGTATGTCAAAATATAAAAAAGTTTAAAATTTAAAAAATTGGAGAGGGAGGTCTTTTTATATTTGCCCTTAAATATATTATAGAAGAACGCTATATAAGTGGATAATTGCACATGCGCTAATGAACATGCATAAGGGTCCACACAAATCGTTGTAATAAGGCTATAAGCCCATTTTTCCCTTCAGTATTCCAAGCATATATTAACGATAAAACAATTTTATATCGCAAAAATTCCAATATAAAATATAAAAATAACTAAATCTCTGAAGATGCTCGGTCGGGCGGTAAATTTATATTTTATAACAAAATACAAAAATATATCAACGCGGAAACCAAAATATCGTCGGGCGGTGATGAGAATCAAGGAATTTATTTTATATGGCCTAAATAAGCAAACCACATGCGTTCCTTTTGATCAGCGTCACTTCACTAAAAATAAACACTGCAGTTTGGCGCCAAAATACAAATAATGGCGCCACATACAAATGTTGCATTATTAAATATACTATCTCGAGCAAGACAAAGGAGAAAAAAATCGAATCAGTGTTATATGCTTTGGTAAATCAGAGACAGCAGCTAGTTAAAATGACCTTTGTGATAGCGCTTCTGCTTTTGTCTGGAAGAAATGCAGCTGTACCTACTATACGTTCATGTCGGAGATTTGAACAAAATCCAGGTTGGTGGTATATTGTGTCGCAAACATATTCTGATGCTCAATTTAAGAAGACTTTCCGAGTGTCAAGAAATGCCTTTTCTTTCATTCTTGAGCGAATACGCCATGTTTTGGAAAGAAAAACTGTTGTAGAAGAGCCGGTAGAGCCAGCTTTTTGTCTAGCTATCTGCCTGTATCGTCTTGGTCGTGGGACATATTACCACACTATATCCGAATTGTGTGGTCTTGGACTGTCAACACTTGCCACAATAACCAGAGAGGTATCTGAAGCTATTGTTGAAGTGTTATGGGATGAGAGCGTTAACAAATACATGCCAAATTCAGAGGATACGTTTCGTAATAAAATCTTAGATATGGAAGAAATGTGGCAGTTTCCTTGTTGCTGGGCAGCGATCGATGGCTGTCACATTCCTCTTAAATGTCCTCCAGGTGGAATGGAAGCTTGGAAAGAATACCATAACTTTAAGAACTTTTATTCTATCGTACTCATGGCATTGGTTGACTCGCACTACCGATTCACTTGGGGGAGCTGTGGCTATCCAGGAAACTCGCATAATTCCATTATTTTTCAATCAACTGAGCTATGGTCAAATATCAAAGACGGTGATGGTCTACCTTCAATGGGCAAGAAGGCTGGCATGCAAACTGTTCCTCCTCTGATAGTTGGCGATTCTGCTTTCCCACTTGCACCATGGCTGATGAAACCTTACACCAATGCAGCGTTGTCACCAAAACAGCGATACTTCAATTACCGTTTAAGTCGCGCTCGCATGGTTACTGAAGGAGCATATGGCCAGTTAAAAGGCAGGTGGCGTGTTTTACTCAGAAAGTGTGAAAGTACCAGTACAAATGTTCGCACATTTGCACTTGCATGTA